CCACACGAGGGCGCTATTCCATATGAATCACGCAGGCCAGTCATCTCATGATGGAGCCCCACGGGAACATCTTCACATCGTACACAAATCCTGCGGTCATGAAGATAAGACGTACTACGTTGTTTACGAATTTCCCTAACGCACAATAATTTTCAAGGTAGTTCTTGAAAACACTCACGTAAGCCACGTTGTTGCATGTAGTCTGTACACAGAGTCGTAAAGTCAACTTCCGGGTCAAGCTACTGAGATCGTGAAAACGCTCGTCTTGCTCTCTGTTTACGTAAATCATCAGGGGTGGATCAATATTGTTGCTGGGGGGCCATTTTTGAAATTTTCACGTAGAGTGTATTTATATTTACAGATTTATGCTCTCCCCACAGACGTCATTGCGCAGACTCCAGTGTATCAGTATCTACAACATGTATGAATTCATATTATCAGGTTGATGTTTGAACTAGTGACAAGTCGCATTTCCAGTTGACAATAACCTTAATGATGCCAGACAAGGTGTGTTCAGTTTCAAGTCCAATCCAGTCCGAAAATGACGATGCCCTCGAACGCTGCATCGTAGAGGAACGGAAATTGGTTCCTTAGAGGGCTCGTAAAACGAAATCAGCGGCGGATACTGCTCGTAAATCCCGCCATAAACCCAATAACTACGACGATGACTTGCTGTTTGTTTTATAATAAAGGAGGACGTCCTTGTAACTGTTTACCTACTCGTCATTGTCCCTGAGTAGCAAGGATGTCACGTGGTCAGATATTTTTTGGGGCGCCAACGAAAACCGTCAATATGAATTTTGTTTTGGTTTATTGTGATTCTAATATTAAAATTTAAATAAAACTCGCGTGTTGACGTTTAAAACAATATGCAAGTTCAGAGATTTGCATAAATTCTGCATAACTTATCGGTAGGGTTTGGAGTTGGTGAAAGGTCAGTCGTTTTTTTTTTTTTTTTTAATTCCTCACAGTTTGGAAATTTTGTTTCTTTCATGGAACTTTTCTGTCGCTTAACAACGACATTGATCTAATCAATTCATTTGAGCTCGAAGATTGATAATTCACTTGTTTCCTCACATGTGTGGTACGTTTTTACCTGGTCTGTCGGGTGCGAGAAGCTATAACGAAGTCTAGGCCAGCTGAATAGTAATTTACTAATATTCATACGAACTACAACACAAACTCTTTTTTAACTTATTACGCGATTGAGAAATTTATAATCTTCAATTCCTGCTTTAGACGGGATCTATGGTTATTGCAGGTGGCGGCCATTTATTTAGGCGGAGATGCGAGAATACCTATACGTATTCATGCAAATGTAAAATGGTAGGAAATCCCTTTCATATTGGTAACGTACTTGCAGCGATACTGGTCAAAGTTCACCGCCTCTGTGTATGTATCTATGTCAGTCATGTCGAACATGGTCGTTAATATAGTAGATGTAATACACCCATTGACGGCTCTAGATTGCGCTCGTTATGCAAAGTTATTATGCAAAGTGTGTTGCGCAATAAATCGCAACGATTAAAGCAGAAATGAGGCTAGTATCGAAGTAACATTTTTTTACACAATACTGTCACAGACAAATATATATACATAATAGCTAGAGTCAGTGGAATTATATTTTTAAAAAAATCACATTAATTTTATTTTACATTATAATTGAACAAAATCCGCACCGTTATCGATATCAAGTAACTGGTTCATTTTTTTTAAATCGGTAAATCATGAAAACGTTTTGTTGAAACAGAAATGATACTTAAAGCATTCGAGATAATTCTCTGGGGAGCACTTCGCTCAACATCGCATTCTTGTTTATATGATGGTTACTTTTATGATCTCTTTCTTTGAAATACAGCCTGAGCCTGGACAGTCTACGCTATAGACTGGAATCATATTTGCGTATATAATTTAGCTATTTTCCACTTGCTTCTAATATATTCAATTGTTTTAATCTTTTATCTGACATGTAGTGTACATTATAGACTACGTCATCACAGTGTGTGGTCTGAGATATTTGAAGGACGAAGCGGGGAGAAGCGACCACCTTACACCAAAGTGCCATTTCCGGCTGCCAAAGCTCCCCCTCATGGCACTGTGAGAAAATTCGCACGTCTTTGTGTGTTCAGTCAATTGTCATCCAATCACGCGGTGGTGAATGAGATCAGTCGTTTCCAACCAGAAAACAACATTTTATTTGTTGTGATCATCGTACTTATTTCAAAACCCCGTATATATATGAATATGTGATATGTATGCGATATATGTATCGTATTTTACTATTTTTGTTAAATATTTTCTTATTTCAAACTTTGCTATTTAGCTATAATTGTTGTTACAAATAAATCAACGACATATGTTCAATAATGGTCAATTCAGTGTAAGTTGTATTTGAGGGGTGGAGGGTTCGTAACACATTGAAGATAACATTTATATTATGAATAATTGTTTTTTCGTTCATCTTAATTATTGTTAAACTGAACATGTTTTTTTTTTTCCGGGCATCTTGACTTCTAGTTTTAGCGTACAAAAACTTGGTCACGTAATATCAAGTTCCGTCGCGATACGCCTCCCCATGGGCTCACGGGTTATTTCTACACAACGAACGATTACATTACATTACACGAACCTATAGTGTACTGTAATAGCCACTGTGGGGGTCTGTGGCTCTTTGATGTGGTTTTAGCACACGTGCAAAAAATCATCATTTATACAATGAATTTGCAATTGCATATGCAAGGGAAACTTTATCTGATAAGTCTCAGTTCGATGACCCTAAATCGTGTTTACGAATCTCTGAAGTACGAGTTTTTTACGAGTGTGGAGGCGAATTGACTTTCTCTCATATGCCCCTGAAACGTACACTAGTATTGAGTGGCAAGCAAGTGGGTAATGTTTTACTACAATGTCTTGTAGGTTTGCACCATGCGTTGACGAGGTCTTTTATCTAGAAACGTCCACTTCTGTGTTTAAATAGCTCTTGTAGCCTATAAGTAGAGAATTCATAGATCGATTTCGAATTAGGTCTGATGAGCGGCAGTTGGCATGACTCACCGGAATTAGGGAGATTTCTTAACGGGTCCGTGAGCTGGGAATGATCCACCGAGGGACTGGATTGCTGCTTGTGACGTAGTTCCTCCTGATTTGAAAGCGAGGTTTTGACATCATTGTTTTATTTCGCCGCCTCCCACTTGTGATTCTTGGCGATAATGTGAGTACTGAAACTGTATTTTTTTACGGAAAGTCGTGAATGTTTAATTAGAAGGAACGTTAAAGAATTGGCGACGACAAATCGTTGATAAATACCACCCGTCAGAACATGAATATTGATAACTGAATGAAATACAAGGGTTTTCACGCGATGACAATGTTCACAAAGTGTGACCAGAAGTCTCGGGTCTTCACTTCTGTTTGTACGCACGACAGCCATAGACGCCAACATCGATCGTAGCCGCGGAACTTACTTCTCGCACAACTCGACGGACTTTAACTTCCGATCGTTGATCAAAGAAACGCGACATGATCTGGTGTTGTCTATTTTTGTGTTTCCTACTGTGGTTTCAAGTGACTGCCGTTCCTATGTGGTGGTAAGTTTATTTTATTAAACATCGGGTATTGTATTGAACAGGTAGACTTGTTGAGGCGAAGATGAACTATATTATCACGCCGCGTTGCTTTGTTCCACAGACTAACTGAAGCAAAGCGGTTTTTTCACATGGGTTTAATTTATTTTGGGTCATTATTTGATTAACCCCAAAACACGCAACATCGGGCGTTACGGTTACGGTTTCTTCGCAATGTCTCGCAGTATGTTTCTATTCTTGAATGAGACATGACAGACTGTGCCGCGAGGTACATTATACCCAAACACAGATACGTGTCTGCGTGTTTCATTTCACGAGTTAAAAATTAAAACACAAGCAGTAAAGATCGGTATGGATCTTCATATTGGGGTACACTTGTGTGTGAAAGTACGTGTCGCCCTGGAAGGAGACGTAGCGCTTTATTTATCGGTTGTTTTCGGGATTTATTTCAAAACAGATTAGCCCACATTAACCACCCTAGTGAGTACACCTGACGCTTGAGGAAAGAAAACAAGTTGTCCAAACAGTATCAATACAACGGATTGAACGCTTGTACATAATATAAAAATTGGTTATCAGAACGCTGTGTTTACATAAAAAACAGACTTCCTGCAAGACAAGACAAGCCTAGGTGTTGACATAGGTCTTAGGTGCGTGAAGAAATACGTTACAGCAGACAGATGCACTCATCCGAAACCGACTTTTAAAGCGACCCTTGCTCGGCGCCAAGTCCCCCTCCACCTGAATCACAAAAAAATCACATTCTGGTGTAATTTGTAACGTTCAAAGCTTGCCACGTGATACCGATAGAATCACATTTTTTCTGTAACTATGTTTTATAATAAAATACACATATTATTTTAATTTTAATATAAAACTTTAAATTGGAGTATATAGTCCGACTCGCGAGAATTTGACATTTTCAGTTTTCACCACAACGCAATAACAACTGTATTCGCTGAGTAACATGTCCTGACAATGTATGCTTTGCGAGTTTACAAGTTCTATTCACACAATCCTAACCTATCGTGAATGAACTGAAAGCGATACCGTTGCAGGTGGCAATCACCTTCCTTTTGGAGTTAAGATGCCACTTCTTTTATTACTTAATATGATTTCATTTCTAAATGGACCCAAACTGGTGAATCTATAGCGGAGTATTGGAAACAATCGCGACGATTCTCATGGAATTGAGACCATATTTGCATGTGTTCAGAATCCTTTGCGGTGAGTTTTTTTTTTGTGTGAAATTCAGTTAGTTTTCATTGAACCGCCTGACGTCCTGACTGTGCTTCCATTAATTGGATTTCGAGTCGAGATAGCGAAACGAACGAATTCAAAGGTTGTTCTATAATTCTGTTTGTTTGTGGGGGTCAAAACGTTACAGAGAAAAAGCCAAACGGCACACCTGCTATTCAAAGGGGTTCATTTTAGCGAAACCACGCAAAATAGATTTAATCTCATCTAAGGAGGGTAATTGTGGACTGAGCCACGTGACAAGATATAAATAAAAGTAACAAACAAGGCCCATGGGACCGTTGCACAGGAGTTCGGTATGCAACGAAAGTGGTATACCCGTCCTCCGCATTCTGAAGTATTTTACTGGTGTTTTCATCATGTCTCAAGTCGGTTTTGTTGACACAGATTTGTAAGCGATAGGTCTAAATTCTTTTGTGCGCAATTGTGCGTTCAATGGTATTAGCCCCAAAACACGGTTTAAAGATGCGTTATCCACACGTTAGTTGCCACTATTGTGCGATCTTTAAGGTGGTTACAATTGGTAAATTAATCGCCACTCTGCGCAGATTCTCATGTTTAACGGATTGCCGCGCTTGTGGATGACGAAAACAGACTTGCAGCAGTGGTGTCTTGTTCTAAAAAATGCTTTGACTAGTTAGAATGAATTGCAATGTACATAAAATATTACCGCCGCCTTGTGTATGGCATATACGATGCGTAAGGCATATATATTAATATATCGCGTATGAAGTATGAATACAATATAAATAAATTCATTGCGCTAAAATTAAACTCAAACCAAAGATTTCCGCATTACATATGTTTGACCATAGACCCTCCAGTAGACTGGAGGGTCTATGGTTTGACATAGTACATTTTCGACATTAACAGTGTTTTTTCTCAGAAAGCTATAGTTAAAATGACAAACACCATTTTTTTATTAGACACTCACACAGTAAATTTTAACTGCCCATTTACGTTTACAGACCTGAATCTCTCTGCTTGAAATTTACCAACAAGTTATTGAACTATAGAATTCCAAATTACCAGTTTCTGTCTTTGGTGCAGCCTGCCTTAAGCAGCTGTGTTGAGTGTTTACGCATTATTCTGTTGATGTTATACACTACACCATGTTTGTCTACCACTGCGTAAGTAATCTTTAAAAAACAGACAATTGCTTATACATCTCGTCAGAACATAACAGAACTATTGAATTGCTCCGGTAGGGAATTGACAAGAAGCTAACTGGCAACACCATTGTATTGTCCATTTCATTAACTTTTTTATAATGCGTATAATGGGTTGGAGAGTTACTTAGTTAGCCCGCCACACACTAAGCTATACACTGGCCTGACACCGAGAAGTGACTAGAGAAAACTGATAATACGAATTTAATGTAACTGAAGGACGTACGAAAGGCTGCTGGAAAGAGTTAGAGATGGTGTCATGAGAACTGACTCCGAGATGATATTCGGGGAAACGCGTATGGAAGAATGTTCACCATTATTGGTGTAATGCTGTGAAAAAAAACTTAGAAAGTACCATGCAAATTATACCTATAACTGATGACGATTTTACATTTTAAAATTGTAACTGGTGGTAGAATGTATTATTTACTTCGTTCAAATTATTCAAATTGTCAAATATCATAAATATCTGACAGAGTGGCCCAATCATCAGATTACCGAACAAAAAAAATGAATGCGCATGCGTTAAATTTAAATTATACGGCATCTTCGCAGGTTAGCTAGAAATACAATTGCAATACAAGATGTACACCACAGTTTTCAAATACGTGATATTTTAGCTGGTTTAGTCCAAAACTAACATTACACTAAATGCTAAAATTATCATAATAAGAGCAGCCTAACAATACAATAGAAATAATATATCAACTACAGCCGTGTTTTACATATCGCTAACGCTATACGAAGGCTGGCGTTTTCTTACACTTCATAAAATATCATCAATTAAGTCAATTACAAGAAACGTATAAATGTAAATAAGCAAGCCAAATTGAGCATCTCAGATCTTCAAAATGGGGCTCACAAATATCCTAGACTATTTTTAAAATTGTTGTGGTATAATTTTGTAAATTCAATTTCCATCACGATTGAAATGTGTTTTACCTTGAACGACGACTAATAGGTGCATATATGTATTAGAAACCGCTATACCCGGATTTCTTCTTTGGTGATGCTGAAATATGGGGGTCATAGTGACAACGCGTTCCAACTGCACTGACATTACTACAGTGTTGCGATGGGTCAAGCCCTGCTTGTGTCCTAGACCAGATAACATACTGCGCATGTAAGCCACAAACGTCAATTAACCATCGACGAAGGCAGATACATTTGATATCATCGATGTGCAGTGAAAAATTAATACCCAACATGCTATATTAAGTCAAGATTGCTGAAATTATATGTTTCGACACATCTAGTCGCCAAGTTGCAGCACATTCCTTTGTGTTTTGTTCACGGGGAAGGAGTTCACTCCATCGTGCATTCCGTTATTCCTACTTCATTTATCGCCTCAACTATTGGTCAATTTCATCAACGATGTAGCAATCTAAGTGTTCCTGTATCTATGCACCAGCCAGTATATTTGGTATAACTCGGGTTGTTGGAGAAGAAATAAAATAAAACTGGTGGAACATGATATATCGAAATAAAAC